CCCCAGCCCTGCTGAGGAATTCCCGCAGGGACAAGGCCCCCAGCTCCCGCCCGCTCCTGGAGATCTACTCGGCCTCGGGGCTGCTCCTGGCCAGTGTCCCGGTGAGCTGGGGGGGCTGGGACCCCCTCTGGGGGGACAGGGATGGGGGGCACCGGGATGGGAAGGGTGGGGGGTGCAAGGGGGATGGGGGGAGTGGGGGCAAGGAGCTGCCCAGGGATGAGAGAAGAGGGTGGGATGAGGTTGGAGCAGAACTGGAGCAGCAGGAGCATCTTCTCTTCCCCCCTGACTTGGGCTGGGAGAAGAGGGTGGGACGGGATTGGAGCAGCGGGATCAGAGCAGCAGGAACATCCCTCTCTCCATGGGAGAAGAGGATGGGCTGGGAGTTGGAGCAACAGGAACGTTCTCCTTTCCCTCTGTCCAGGGCTGGGGTGGGCACGGGGGAGTGGAGGGACAGGGAAGGTGCCAGGGCAGGTGAGGTGCCAGACCTTTGGAGGAGGTGCCAGACCTTGGGAGGAGATGTCAGACCTTGGGAGGAGGTGTTGGACCTCCAGTTGAGGTTTCCAGGCTCTGGAGAAGGAGTCAGAGCTCAGCCTCAGCCGTGGCCTCTCGTGTGTCCCTGGAGGGCTGCCCTGGCTCTGGGCTGTCCTGAGCCCCCCGGGGTGACCATTCCCACCCCATTCCCACCCCATTCCTGCCGTTCCCCAGTGGAAGAGTGGCCGCCTGGTGCACCTGGGCTGGACGGCGGGGGAGGACCTGCTGTGCATCCAGGAGGACGGGACTGTGCTGGTCTACAACCTGTTCTGCGAGTTCAAACGGCACTTCAGCATGGGAAACGTGAGGGGCTGGGGGCACGGGGGGGCTGGGGGAGGGCACCTCAGGTCCCATCCATCCCACCCCCTGCCGTGGGCAGGGACACCTTCCATTGACCAGGTTGCTCCAAGCCCCATCCAGCCTGGCCTTGGACACTTCCAGGGATCCACAGCTTCTCTGGGCAGCCCGTGCCGGGGCCTCCCCACCCTCACAGGGAGGAATCCCCTCCCAGCATCCCACCCAAACCTCCCATTTCCCAGTGGGAAGCCATTCCCCCTTGTCCTGTCGCTCCAGACCCCTGTGAGATGCCCAGGGTGGGCTTTGGAATCGAGTCAGGGGCTCTCCCAGCCCTCGGGAGTGCACTGGGATGGATGTGCCCCTGTGGCTCCTGAGGCTGGGACAATCCCCTCCGTGCTGGCTCTGTGAGCTGGGCCCCCCCCGTGCCCCCCCAGTGCCCCCAGTGCCCCCACACTGTCTCTGGGCGCAGGAGGTGCTGCAGAACCACGTGCTGGAGGCGCAGGTTTTCCACACGGAGTTCGGGACGGGCGTGGCCATCCTGACCGGGGCCTTCCGCTTCTCCCTGGCCACCAACATCGACGACCTCAAGCTGCGCCGCCTGCCCGAGGTCCCTGGTGGGTGTCCCTGTGCCCCCC